CACGCAGGCTCAGTACAAGTCTGCCGATCGCACCAACCGGATTACGCACACGCTCAGCTCGTAACCAGAGCCAACGGAATCTCAATATAGAAGCGCTAGCAGAGAAAGCCTTCACTCCAATAGACCTGGAGATGATCGATACAGAAAACTCTATAACAGTTGCCACTGCACCTAGACCCTCTCTATGAGTGATGCAATCAATGGGTACACTCAAAGAAACAAAGGCCTCACTATCGCTTGGGCGAACGCAGGCCGGGGACACGCGAATCATATCACACTACTACAATTAGCAGCGGAGGCTCAATTAGATGTGATCTGTATACAGGAGCCAAGACTATACTGGAATTCAACAACACAAAATCACAACGCATACGATCGATATCAGCCGACCGACAACTGGAACCTCCGAGGAGACTTGGAGGAGAACGAGCAAGGCCCTAGGGTCATGACATATATACGAAAAAGCGCGAACCTGAAAGTAGAGCAAATGAGTCGACTCGGAAACAGAGACCTACTCTGGATACGAGTCAATGGATACTCGATCCTGAATGTCTATAGAGCTCCGTGCACTTTGGATATTATTAATTACATTACACACCTGGTTCCAAATGAGCGTACAGTCGTAGGAGGGGACTTTAATGCAAAGCACGATCTGTGGGAACCGGGGGTGATCACAGCCAACCAGGGGGCACAGCTCGCAACATGGGCAGACGAGCAGGGCATGGAGTTTATAGGTACTCCAGGCATACCCACTCACGCAAGAGGGCACGTGATAGACCTGACCTTCTCCAACATACCGTTCGCTTATACAGAGGTACTGGAAGAACTCCATTGTGGATCTGATCATGCTACCCAGGTCACTACTCTGACGAATCGTGGAACAACAGAGTGGGATCAGTATCGCTATCGGATAAAGGAAGTGGATCTGCCTAGATTAGATGGACTAATGGCCAACCAGCTAGCTCACCTCAATGATGTAGACATTCAGACTACAACTGAGATTGAAACCCACGTCAGTGAGCTGGCGAATGCGTTAGAAAAAGCGATCCGAGCAATCGGCAAGATTGATCGGAAGGTAGGAAAAGCCTCGCCGTGGTGGACGGACGAGTGCAGAGAAGCCCACCGAGCACACATAGAAGCACGGAGGGGATCAGACCCGGAAAGGAAGACTAATGCTACTCATCTCTTACAAAAGGTAGTGCGACAAGCCAAGAGATCCTACTGGGCAATGCGTCTCGACGGAGTCAAAGACGACAAAGAACTCTATCGGGTTATGGGATGGCACAAATTAACCCCCGAAAGTAATGCGAAATCCCCCTCCCTAATAATCGGCGAGCGGGTGATCTGCGATACAAAAGAGAAGGCAGATGCTTTATTCACAGCGGTTCTGGATCGTTTCAGGGCAGACGACGACCTACCAAACGATCCGCTGCTCAATCAAGCACACAAAGGGATACTCCCCTGGAAAAGAACGATCTCTGCAGAAGAAGTGGAAAAACATGTCATAGGAGCTACTTGCACTGCGCCTGGAGTGGATCGAGCCACTGTGCGCATCCTCAAGGCATGCTGGCCGAGCGTCAAATCACTGATCCGGGAGATATTTGCATCTTGCCTAGCTCTAAACTACTATCCAGAAGGTTGGAAGCTAGCGGAAGTAGTAATGATCCCTAAGGTGGGCAAGAAAGACAAAACGTCACCGCGGTCGTGGCGACCGATAGCCCTGATCTCCTGTATCGGTAAGGGGCTCGAACGGTATATAGCTAGTCAAATATCCTGGACAGCCCTGAGACACAAGGTAATCAGCCCGCAGCACTGCGGAGCGCTCCCCAGAAGATCAGGTACTGATCTAACGGCGGCTTTCACTCACGATGCGGAGCTTTCATTAGCAACGGGTAATGTGGTCTCGATTGTTACAATGGATGTTCAAGGAGCTTTTGACGCTCTCCTAAAGCGCCGACTCCTGAGCCGAATGATCAAGCAAGGATGGCCAACTCCGCTGCTCAAACTAATAGACTCGTTCCTTACAAATAGGAAAGTCAGAGTAAGACTCGAAGGCATCACAACAGAGGAATACCCAGTAGCATGTGGTACTCCTCAGGGGTCCCCCCTATCACCTATACTCTATATGCTATATCTCGCTGAGCTCCTCAACCGAGATACCAAATATCGCTTTGGCTACGCTGACGATATTGCGATCTATCACTCCTCCAAGCATCTCTCCACGAATGCCAGGATCCTTCAACGACGCGTTCGACAGATCATCCGATGGGGTAAGGAGAACAAAATCCTATTCGCCTCAGAGAAATTCGAGCTACTCCATATAACCAGACGACACGATACCACCAACCCACCACTAGTCGTTAACCCGGATCTGATAATCACTCCAGTACCGATTGTAACGAGTGGAAGCACTCAACCCACTCTAAGATGGCTTGGTGTCTTCTTCGATCGTCGGCTCTCGTTTCTACAACATGTCAAAACACGCACAGCGAAAGCCATGAAAGTAGCCTCGCACATCAGGTCGATCGCCCGCACTCTGCATGGGCCACCAGCTTCCTACTTGAGAAAAGCAGTGATCACCTGCGTCCTTCCAGTAGCACTATTCGGCACTGAAGTATGGTACGCTGGCAAACTCAAACCGAGCCTCGGTCAAAGCGAAGCAAGCACAGGCACAGGTATCAAAGGCCATCTCCGCTACATCAACAAAGTGATCAATACCGCCGCAAGAGGAGCGATCCCGGTATACAAAACTACACCGACCGCAGCTCTTATCAAAGAAGCCGGCCTGCCATCGGGGATAGTCGCATTAGAACACGCCAAGCTGCGATTCGCACTCCGCTTAAAAACGGTCGACAATCAGCACCTGCTAGTGAGCCGCCTGAAACCCACAGTACGAAAGCGCGGGCGAGGAGCAGGCACAGCTAGAAGGCCCCTTACAAGAATCCAACGGCTCGGCCTCCTCATCCCAGAGACCCAACGGCCGAAGTTACTTCGCCCGCACTTCTCGATAGGCTGCAGAACGGATCCGACGGAAGGGCTAACCAAAGAGGAAGCAGCTCAAGCCTTCAAAGAGTGGTGGCTGCAACTCCCACCTGAGGACTACACGATCTTCTCCGACGGATCAGAACAAACCATTGATCGTAAACACTGTGTCGGATACGGATATGTAATATATTACAATGGCACTCAATTAGCCTCCGGATCCAAGCAGATCCGGAGCGACTCACATGTGTTCGATGCAGAAGCGATCGGAGCGTGGCGAGGGCTGGAGCACCTGATCAGCACGTTTAAAGATCCCCCGAGTGGCCGGATCTGGATGTGTATTGACAGTACATCGGTCATCTGGGGTGTTCGCGGAAACGCGCCGCCCACAACGCAATGGGCCTTCCATAAGTGCCATAAGGCAATGAAACAACTTGACATTAGAGTGAAGTGGTCACCTGGTCACATGGAGATCGAAGGGAATGAGGAAGCAGACCGCCTAGCAAACGCAGGCGCAATTGGACCCATGGACCAGGCGATCGACAAGCTACCAACAATTAGCGGTGTCCGGACGATCGTTCGCCAAAAGCGCCTACGCGCAGAGACTGAGTGGTGGGAAGAGATGAATCCCTCTCTCTCTGCTAATTATAAAGAATGGTCTCCCAAGTACAACACAAAGGAGCCGAAGGAACTAACTCTGCCAAGAGCAGTCCTTCACCGACTACTAGCTATGAAAACAGGTCATGGCGACTACGCCGCTTACCATCAGCGATTTGGTCATCAAAACAACAAGCTGGACTGCTCATGCGGCAGCGCTAAGGAACCATATCACTTCTTTAAATGCACTATAAACAACCTAAAACGTTCAGACTGGCCCCTGGCCCCTGTAGAAATACAATCTAACAAACAGGCGATCACATATATCAAGAAACTCTTACACACACCTAGCAAGCTCACTCAGCTGATTACCGACTCAGAGTTCTACACTCAGATCTGTCCTAACTACTAAAGGACCCTTAGAAAGCGACCATCTTTTCAACAAAGCCCGCCGCCCCTTTTATAAACTTACCACTCAACTGATCACTCGAATATACCACACCCCTAAAAACCGCAAACCCAATATACAATATAAGAGCCTTGCCGCTCGGCTAAACAAATAGCAACCCACTCCCACTTCTTCTCCTTCACCATAGGGATCGGAGCCCACAACGAGCCTATCCACCCGGGAACCAAGCTCTACCCTAACAAGAACCCGGATCAGACGTACCCTTCTGGAAACAGAAGTGGATCGCACCTGCAGAGGAGCGAACAGCCCCTGGCATTGAAGTTAAATTGCTAAATTCGGTTGCGACGATCACGCCGCTCAAATAGTCCCTTATCTTAGCACGTCTAAATACCCTTAGGGAGGTTCAAGACAGACGTTAATTAATATAAATAAAAAAATAAATAAATACTATTGAATATATAAGATGTTCGATTCCCGTAAGCGAGGAAAGCCATAGGTCGTCATATAAAACTTTTGACAACTCATTGATCATTAGATGGGAATGCATAATGGCCTGTAAGCCAGAAGTAGAGTGACTATAATTATCATGATTTTTCGTGAGGCAATATGAAGGTGATATTTATATCTCATACAGCATTATGTTGTGCAGCGAGATAAAATGTGCCAAAATGCGATGAAATTGACGAGATTGGCATCATGCGGAAAGCGGAATGATGCACAGCTTGGAGATATAGGAGATATGGCTTGCGATAGTGAGATTTCAGTATTTGCTAGAAGAGGTGAAGGTGATGGTTTCTTTGTTACTGTGGCTGGGCAAAAAGAGTGTGATGACCCGGGATAGATTTGGCAAAGCAGGTACTAGAAGGGAAATTGTCGACTGAGATATGGAGTCTTGTTGTCCAACATTTGCGAATTCTATCATCGGGCCAGGGGCAGATTTGTATTTCGATACGCTGTCAGTGATAACTTGATGAGCTTCACAGTTGCTTGGGGTAATGAAGGGAGTGTTTTGTTATACGACTAAATTAGGCGAAGTAAGTTCCTTTGCAGCGCTTGTTGACTGTTTCGTATTGTGTATATAATTATATATGTATTGAGGCCTGTGTCAATACCCTAGTTGTGCGAGTTGTTTCAAGCCCCGCGAAAGCCCATCAAGTAGAATGTACTCACCATTCCGAGAGAAGATTGCATTCTGCCCAAAGCTTACCATCCAGTCACTAAGTTTCGGCCACTTGATCCAAGTCTGAATTCCCTTCCAAAAATCCTCCACTCTCCTAGCGTGTTCATCCGGGACACTTTCTCCTTCTTCCGCCATCGACCTATTAAACAATTCCATACTAACCCATCCTTGATACCCCAAACACTCAACAATAATCCGCGTAACCTTTTCAACCGGCAAATACGCCCCCCTCTCACTCTCTCCCGCAAACAACCTCGCATTCCTACTCCAACTCATTCGCGCAGGTTGTTCATCATCCCAAAATGCATGGCCCTTGACCAACGGCTCTTGCATCTTCTCCGCATCAACCACTTGAATATAAAAAACTTTCTTCACATCAACAATCTTTGCCAGTCTCTCCAATCTCTCATTCAAAGCTTTCTCTACATTTTCAGTTTTCCTATCACAAGAAGCTAAATCACTATATACTCTCCCCGCAATGTTAAAAGTATCGAGAACAAACCCGAAATGATGGTATCCATATCATCGGTTAATTTCTCTTTGGGTAAGAAGTTCGCGAGGATTTGGATGAGATCCGTTCCCAAGATCTTGACAATCTTGAACCAGAGTTTCATTTTCTCAATTTTCTCGTGGTGCTCGCTTCTATCTTTCAAACCCTCGTAGAAGTTAAACGGTTGCAGTCCGATGATAGTTATGTTTCGTTCATCGCATAGCGATTTTATGGTGGAAGCAGCGTGGAGAAGAGCTTCTGGAGAGGGCGTCTCGGTGTTTGATTCAGTCCGTGCGAGATATTTGAGATCTTCGTAGAATACTTCAAGACCAAGAATGTTGTGCTTAGAAGCGGCGGAGAGTTTGCTAGGCATAGAATGGACCCAGGCGCGGCCGAGAGACATGGAAGATATGGCTAGCTTGAGGCCGTCCATTTGTAATGGTGAAAGAAAGGAGCTTATTTTATGATTCTTGGGAGAAGATAGGAAAGGAAGAAGGGAGGACGTGGTTTTGGAGATAGTTCTTGAGGTTGATTGGATACGAAGTACTACTTCGATGTTATCCTAGCTTTGACTTGTAGAGCTGGACCCCACACATTGCTCTATGACGATACTCACTTAAGCATCTCCCCCACATATAAATCTGCTCGGATGACTTCTAAACATGAGTACCTATCTCGCCTATATAGAAAGAATATCCGTTCTCTATTTCGGAAATTCACTAGTGTTAGAGATAGAATCCATATAAACAAGAAGCGATGCGAAGTTATCAGCCAGAAGATCCCCTGAAATGCTATCATGTTTTAATGTAAAAGTTACGCTAGTATGTTGGGCGTATCGTGAATACTAGAAAAGGGGTCTTAGATATAGTTTATACTTATCGAGAGTCTATGGGCGAGTAACTTGATTATGTATGCAAAAGATCTATCTTTCATGTGCCCCTCCCCTTCTTTCAGATGCACGCTAGCCTCTCAACGCACCTCATCCAACCTCACCTCCGGTCTCAAAAGCTTCCAGCGATTCTATCCCCCCGTCTCCCATCTCAAAGACACCCCATCTCTGCTCCCTGTCTCCAAATTTCCTTCCCAATTTCCTATCTCTGCCCAAAACCGGACACTCATCCCTCAAAACCTCAAATACAAAACTATAAGCGACATCCTCATTCCCAAAATGAGATGTATCATCTCGACAATAAAGATTCTCAGCATCCTCTCTCTTCTTCGGGAGTTTCGAAATCATAATGTGGAGATTGAGGAAATCGTCAAAGATGCGTCCTAGTGATGGTTTTTGGGCTGTGGAGCTGAAGATCGAGTGGATGGTTGGAAGTGGGGGTGGAGGCGGAGGTTGACGAGAGGGCTGTTGGGTTGTGAAATTGGATTTGGTAGAAATAGTAGTGTTGTGGAGGATGGTGAGGATATTTTGAGTATGGGTTAGGGTGTGGAGAGTTCGTGATAGGAGGGAGAGAAGATTGTGTGCGGAGACTTTTTCGGAGTGGGTGAAGAGGTGGGATATTAGGTAGTGCATGCTGTCTATGATTAATATTTCGGGAGTGGTTGGTGTTGAGCTTGGGATTGATGTTGTGGGTTTGACTGGTGGTGGTGGTGTTAATTCGATGTCTTCCTCGTCGCTATCGCAGATCTCATCTGGGATTTTGTGTAATGGCTCTGTTTCCCTTTCAACGGGTTTGCTGGTCCGTGATGGTATGATGTTGGGTATTTTCTGATCGCCCCCGTTGTTTCCAGGCTGATCGTTTGGCCGTCCTAGCTCACTTAATACCTCCCATAACCCCTCAACATCAAAGACTCTACTAATGGCAACCAGCTCCAATAATGCATTCACTTCTTTTTGTATGTCGATCTCAGTACTTTCATCTGTATTCCGGCCATCGTTGAGATTCATAGTTATATCATTCCTACTTCTCATCTCAGATCTCCTCTTCAAAAGCCTTGATCTCAAAATTTTGACTAGAAGAGGAAGGTTAAAGGAACCTGTCGTATCTATTATCACAACTTTTGGCTTGCTTGTATTCCCCGATTCATTCTGGGACTTCTGAATGGCATCTAACAAATCGATATGTTGTAAGAGGACTGATGCTATGAGATTGAGAGATATCTAGATAGCGAATATATCAGAACCTTGTTCAATACATAATTTAATACACAATATTGCAAAAACTTACCTGTCGACTGCCTGTCGATTCATCCCCATCAGCAGCACTTAACCCTACTACGATTCCCCTTTCGAATCCTCCATCTGAATTATCCTTACCAGCGCAGAGAACATAATCATCAATCTCCTGACATCCCGTTCTGATTCGTGCCGGTCCATTAGCCTTCTCATTGAACAGCGTCCGTTGCCGCTCTTCCAAGTCAAGCAATTGATCTGCTGTTATTGGATGGGCTGATTCTGGAGGGTTCGAGACTTCTGTCTGAGCCGTATGATCTTTTCCAACCATTTTGAGAATTTTCGCAAGGTAAGTTGTCGCACATTGATAAGCGGGGAGTTATGAGACGTGTGGCCATCTTATGAAATCATGTTCTCACTTTGAATGCTCAGAATGCAAGGTCTTCGGAATCATAAATCATCATACTTGAATGAATTGTTTCCATAACTGATAAAGTATATGGCTTACTCTCATTCTCGGTGGTATTGTCGACGCGTTTGACAATCTCATAAGATCAAAGTCTCGAATCCCATCACGCCAGACAGGTAAGAGTTCGTGTTTGAAAAGTTCGCGAGGTCACGTGACTAACGTGATCTGATTTTCTCATAAGGTCACCCTCCGACATTTCCCAACGTTTCATCTACTCTACCAACTGTGAGTAACGTTCTTCAATTTCACCAAGACTTCAAATTCAACATCTACTGGTGGGAATAAAACAAAGGTAACAAGGGAACAAAGCATACACAACCTTAGTTCTACCACCAATCCATCTTAAAATAATTTTTTATACAAACAAAGCGTGCCAAGTTCCACCAATTCACATCGTCTAACTGCAAATCTAGCCCAGTAAGGAAAAGCAAAAAGCTGGGCAAATCTTCAGACTTGCAACAAAACACTTTTTTCTTCATTCTAGTTGGTTTGCAAAGTTCGTGTTTCCATTGTCACGGGTAAAGCTTACGACGACATTTTCCCGTGTGCAAGTGGCACGTCCTGGTACGGATGTATATTTCCGGTTGGGGAGGCTTGGTATGGATAATGAGACGAAAGGATTCGGGACCGAAGGTCTTGGGTATTTTGAAATTTTGAGAGGGTTCTTGCATAGCCTAACATTATGTTCTTGGGATTTGTTTTCAAAACTGTTCTCATATATTTTGGGATGAAAGAATGTCTTTCTATATAATGGTAGTTTTCATTACAAGTGTTTGAAAACTTTGATCTAGGAATCCTAAATCTTCGAGGATTCACAACATCACGATCTACGATGTGTACAACGGAAACATTCTCGTCTTTACTAGGCTACTCCGTATAGTAGACACAGGCCAAGTGCTCACTGCCTCTCGTGCCTTGTTCGTCTTATTCTGCCTGCCTTTTTGGTCGATTGTTGCAACATCCGATTATGTATCACCCTGTCTTCGCTACAGGTTCTGCAGGATGACCAAAGAAAGCAACATGAGTGAGGGGATAGCCAGAATCGTCGATTTTGAACAACATTTACTTTACCCTGGCCATTGTGTGGTTATCTCCGTCTTGGCCTGGATGTGATAGGGCAGTATCGCTTGCCTTCTACGGGCCTCACATCTCGAGACATCGTTCTCATTCTAATGTTTTTCGCCCCATTGTTTTCAGATGAAGCTGTAACGCATCACCTCCACACCAGCGGAGACAAGAACTCTTTACGCCGTTCAGGCTTGGTAGGTAGACTACATACGAGTTATCGATTCAATATATAAGCTTACCAAGACCACAGCATTTACATGGAGACATCATCTTGGAACTAGAATCGAGTTCTCCGGCATTCAGAGGAAGAAATGTGTCGCTCAGTTGAGATTACTCCCATATCAGCTTACAACTGAACTCGGCATTTAGCAATTTTTCTATAGAAAGGCCTTTCTTCTCCAACAAAAAAACACCCGGCTTTTCTAATCAAGAGAACAGCAAACGTATGAATTGCTAATTCAAGGTTCTGAGTTCCAATCAGCTTCATAGTATAGTAGATAGTACCGTAATAAAGCGTCGAACTTACTATGGTGCAAGCAGTTGTGAGCTGGGAGTAATGAGTGGTATCGATACACCAATCTTATCGACCTCTCGTCGCCCTTCGAATCAAACCCACGAGACTCCATCAAACATCATATCCAAATCGACCGGAGAATTGTGTATCAGGAAATCCGCAATTGGCCATTTCTGTGGTGCCTCAATAATGGTATGACTTAAGGCATTGAAGGTTGAAATACCAGCTAGCTTCCATTTTACAAGGCTACCAGTCTGACGCTGTTTGTCGATAGATCAAGTGCTGTCACGGAGCTCATATGCATGCTTCCACTATAGTATACTGAAAAGTCGAAGGATTCGCCCGTCATCAGTGAACGAAGCAGTGTCAAACACTCGAGCTGATACAGTTGCAGGCGTATTTTCTTCCCAGCAATCCATTCATAGCCGAGTGGGAGTTGACATGTGCGTATTGTTGTCGCCTCGATTTCTGCAGATTTCGTTTTCTCGGGTATTCCACTTTACTGCGGAAGCCGTATCTCATCACTGCTCAAGGCCATCCTCGACTTGATTAATTGTAGAAGGTGTTCTAATATCTATTTCTCTCCTGCTTCGACTCCCACGGCACAAACGAATTATACTATGGGTCACCCAGCTCCCATCCTTCAATGTCAGTGCTGAACAGGAGTAGTGATCTGATCTTAATCCGCACATCACGTTGCCAATAAGTGCGATTTGGGCTATCATAGAAGATGTTCGTCTTCATGTACCAACTCTGTTTATACGATTGCTAAATAGAGAATATGACATTCCGAACTAAAAGTCTATAAGTGGATGATCAACCACAAATGGCTTCCATAACTTTCCATTCTAGATAACGGTAAGTGCATTCAGGTGATGAAGCAATAGTGAAAGATTCTTTTCTCTCGTATCAAACTGTCGTAACTTGATAAATATAGGCCCCGAAGAGAACCACCAAGTCTTCATCTCACGAGCCTAAAGACCTTTCAATAAAGTCTGCCAGATATAATGATGCATATCAATGACCGAGGAGAATTTGAACTAATGTTGGCACCTCCTACAATCTATCGCTCTTGACGGTGGTGAAAGAGCAAATTTAATCGAATGATAATTCTGCTATCAGTATCTGTGGGTGTCCATCATCTGATACCCACAATATATCAGAGGCAGCGATTCCTCATCTCGTGGTATTCAAAGTATTCTATGAGCGGCTGTTAGCTTCAATTTCGGACGCTGAAAGTCTAGAAGAATTTATATATATATATATATATATATATATATCCAGCTCCTGATCTCTTCACTACACCGATACTACTCTCAGCAGGCGGTACTAAGCCATAATAACATCGCCTCTTGAGCCTTAATCAATCCCAAGATCTGGTCATCTGCACGATTGCACCACCTTCCTTACAGTCAAGAATAGCCACGAACGTGGTGCGCACACCACACACCACTTTGTTTGTATCTATTGTATCTTTCACACGTGGATTGTAGATAACAGCCTCTATCAACACATAGTGACACTATATTTAAATTTTCATATAATCTCGAAGTTTATCTTTGATTTTATCTACGAAAGTGGCATTATTCTCTTTTCATTTGTACAGAAAATGTTGTGAATCTAAGGGTCCATCACAAAGTTTGGAGCCTTTTTTAAGTTGTGCGTATAGTTTTTGAGCCCCTTCGTTTCTCTGTGGTCTAATTTTTTGAAGCACTTTTCCTCCTTCAGATATTGCAATGTCTTCAGGCATTTCTACAATACAGTTTCACGAGGAACAGACATTTTGTTCGCAACTCACATGCAATTTACTCAATGCTGGACGCCTGATCGATAAGTTTGTCCATCTTGACTCAGCTACTCGGGAAATGCTGGAACTTTATTTCTACTGGCCCTGCAAAACCACATATCTTCTTTGACCTGCCGCTACAACAAAGTAACATTATCTCTCAATACTTCAAACTACTTGATCTCTAAGAAATATGGAAGGTTTGGCGATAACGATTACATTTACTTGGTACTACATACTTGAAAAGTTATTAATCTCCATTGATAGTAACAAAATCTTTGCTCGAAGTCTGCCTCTAACAATACCGTCTGAGTATTGCCCACTCCCACGCCAAGCCGCGGTTAAAAATCTTACACTCTCATTAGATAACCTTGAAAGATTGTTCATTCCATCCATAAATCCTCTTCAATCGACTAGCAAACATAACCAACTTCCATCCTTCAATCTCCGACTTGTGGGGGCGGTGGAACGTGATGGACTTCTCACGGCCTACATCCTTCGCTGCTGGAGAGAAAGTGTATACCGATCCGAATTTTGGAATGACAGAGAACCCCAAATCGACCATTGCAGTTTCGAACGAAATCCAGCTGACTGAACCACGAGCTTCAGACTTGGAGAACATGGTGGAGAAGACTTGCGCCGTGTTCTTGTTGACTTTGAATACCCGAGGCAACTCCACAGTTCCTGCTTGTGCAGATTCAATAATTTCTTGGGTAAGATCATAAGGAGAGACACTTGTCGGTCAAGTCTTATCCTTTTGTCTTCGCTGCTGAATGAGGATATCTGGCCCCATAGTCTCGTAAGCGGGGTCTTCAAAAGTTTTGGGAGGCTTCTTCCCAATCTGTGCCACTCTGTCTTTCTGCTTTTCATAATGAGTTTGAACCTGGGAAACGCAATCGTCAACAAGATCCTGGTACAGAAACCCTGTCCTAGTGCCCATACGTTCCGCTGTAAGTTGATCAAGAGCATCAATAGCGCCTTCGGTCATTCCTGGCTCGAGAAGGTTTTCCATGGGTACTGCAAATTTCGAAAGATCAACCTCATGCTTTAATGGTTCAAGCTCGCCCAACAAGTTCTTGAGTCTTGATGCGTATACCTGTCCTCTTCTAGCATTTTTTTGTGGCAGAGTAACGGTTGCAGAAAGATTTTCGACAAATCTGACGATGACCGCCATATCACCAAAAGCGTCCAAAACACCATCGTGCACTTCAGATCGCTCGATGGGATGAAGACGATAAAGATTTTCTAATTTCTTGATCCAAGGAAGTGCATTGGTGACGTCGATTCCAGGGGAGCAGAGACGGAGCATATAGGAAAGTTGTGGGTTCTCCCTGGCTAAAAGCTCTGGATCTTGCTTGAGTGATACTCGTGCAAATCCATCATCATACTTTCCCGAGAAACGTTTGAAGTACTTTGCATCTGTTCCCAAGGCTGCATAGCGTTTGAAGACTTTCTGTACCCTATAGAACTCGAGATGAGCTACGTTTGATGCTTCCTGAAGCAAAATTGTACTGGCAATTTTATCGTCAGGCTTCTCTGCTAGAAGTTGAAGGAGGCGATGCATGTAATCCCAGGTTGCGGCTCCGGTCGCCATGTTATGTATCAACTCAAAGATCGATGTATTGATGTACTTATCGGCCAGCCAGGGGAGAATTCGTCCCTTCTCATCAGGTATAAGTTCCGGTCGACTAAAGTACCAGCCGTTGGCCATGTGTTCAAGAATAACTGATTCAGAGCAACACAAAACCAGATAATCGCTCACGGCGGTTTTTTGGTCGAATGAGTTGTTGATTATGTCGGCTAGCGAAAGCTTCTCTTGACAGTCTACGATGGAAAGGTTAGGAAGAGCAGAAATAACTGCCTTGTTTGATTTTTTTGGCCGGGGTTTTGTAGATTTGGTAGTAGATCCGACATCCAGAATGTCCGTAACTAATACATTCAGGTGTATTAGGGTATACAGTTGTCTAGTGAGAACGAGTTCGCCCACCTCTTTAGGAACAACAATTCTCCCTTCAAGCGCAGAGGCGAGTTTAGTTGTAATTTCGTGATAATTAGCAGTAGTGGTTGCTTTGAATGACTGACCATAGGTCCCTTCGTCGTAAAAACGAGTGAAACAGTGTTTGAAATCATGAATGTGGCGAAGGTTCTTATCGCGCATACTCTCCACGATGAACATACGGTCCCCTGGACCATCATGAACACCCGCTCTATATTGATGCAGAAGAGACGTTGTAGCTCGGTATCTCAGATGGTCAAGTAGATATTCAGGTTCTGTAGCTATGTCATGCAGATTCATCTCGGGAACTATCTTCCAAGGGGCGCCTATTGATTGATCTTTTGAGTGCTTCAAGTATCCGTCTTCTGCAACACCAACTTTAAAAACATTTACTCGCTGACTCTGATCAAAGCTTCGCCAAATCTGTTCAATTTTCGGTCCATGCAGCTTGTACTTTCTTGCAAGATCTACATGCTGAGTCTTGGTGACTTGAGCGTGGTCTGCCTCACTTTCCATGGTCGTAAATGCAAGAAAGCTCGGTTTCAGGTGGCTGATTGTCGAAATTGAAGTCGAGAGCAGAAACGAGTTACTTCCGTGTGTTCGTATGTAGTGTGGGGCATTGGACATGGGATAACCGTAGATATAGCAATTTCTCCAAATAGGGGAGGCACCCAATTAGTGGCAGGAGTGATTTGATTGTACTGCATCCATTCAAGACATTCTACAATTTGATGAGAAGTAGTGAAGTATAATTAACAAAGAAGCTTCTCTTGTACACCAAGATATATCTAGGAACTTACAGCAAATTCTCAATACAAGGAACTCACAATAATGAATTTATTTGCTTTCGAGGACGAATCACGGACTTATCCTCAACGAGAATTTAGGAATACTCGGGATAAACTTTCGACTCACCGTAATTATGCATCGAGCTCAGGTGCATACTTGGTTAGTCCTTGTGAGATTTTAAGCCTTGCCTCTTCCCTACGATATTTCGACAGGTTGTGGGCTCCGAAGCATCTCCATCTATGTTGTTGCAATGCCAACTTGTTTGGTTCGAAGCATTCCTACGCTCAATTTGCTCGTAGGGTCTCCAAAGAAAGATCGAAGACTCTGGATGATCGAATGAGGAAAGGACCAGGCAGGTTGGCTACCCAACTTTCGACCCAAATAGGGTGATCGTAAGACTCTCTCACGTGAAACTTCTGTAATACAGACACGTGATCGTCCATTGCTCACCAACTGTCTTGGTATAAGCCACCTTTATTATAAGGTAGAAGCAGGAGAGCAATGCAATGTACTTGATTCTGAGAATCCATAGACAATATTGTGTATGCGAGGTGCATATGAGTTCTCAGTGTCTCGCTTCCACTGTGGGAAGAGGGGGAAAAAGGGTGTGGCGCGGAGTTACCTCAGAGCAATCATATATATACTGATACCTATTGAGGTACTGGTCAATCTGCCGATTTTGTGACAAAAAATGAATAGCAATGATTGCTTTCAACTTCAAGAATCGATATATGTTTGATATACTTCCCTTGGAACATAAGAGCACTCACTGCCTATACGGATATCCTGGACTGTAATGTCTTACCGTTTCGGGTGGTAAGGATCAATCTGGCAGAGAATAGGTGAAGATGCCGCAGTTTCTCTGTGCAATAGGTCGAGACTGCAACTTCATTTCCCTCGCACACAGTTATCCGCAATCCCTTTCTCTTCATTTGTATAGATTAAATATTGTTGTTGTTGTTGTTGTTGTATGTCAAATTGTTGGTTTTGGCTGATGATTGACGAGGCTGTAGAATTTCCCCACACAAATGCTCGCTTAAAAATGGAAATTCTTGGCACACACAACGAGCGCTGAGGTCCTTCAACACACGACGACGAGTTTGATTACATAGGAAAGTCAAATCTTTACAACTGTACGTATAACATCAAAAGACACGCTCGATCGCTGCGAAACTTTCTGCCGGAAAGATACCTCGAATTGTTGACTGACGATTTTTGCTCGCCGTAGAACAACCTCCACTTCCTCAATTAATACCTCCCCTCACTTCTCGACGAAGGTCAAACTATAGCAATCATGGATATGGAAAAGTTGAAGAGAATGCAGGCCAGAGGTGGTGTCAGAACTGGTGAGTCTAATTCCAGCGAACACCGCAGAGGACGCGAATGGCAGGAAGATTGAAGAACTCGAGATGGGATTCCTTGAAGGATGGAGGGGTTGGAATGCCAGCTGGCTGTGCTATACAATCTTTACCGGTATCTGAACAATCAAAAGCTAACGTGTGACCGAAGGGTACGTGATAGAATCCTCATCCTCGTCCTCATGCGGTTTATGATCTACGAACGCGGTTTCAGAGCTCTACGACTCTTGAGGAAAGCGCATAGCGGGGTAGCATCGGCATGCTAACAAATACAATAGTGGAAAGGGTACACCAAGAAGAAAGGTTAAGAATGTTCACAAGAGCACCGGAATGGACGACAAGAAGTTACAGACCTCCCTCAAGAAGCTTAACGTCCAACCTATCCAAGCTATCGAGGAGGTAAACATGTTCAAGTCGGACGGAAATGTTATCCACTTCGCTGCACCAAAGGGTACTTTCACCTCACAATACGAGCTCTTAGAATCATACTAACCTTTCAATAAATAGTTCACGCCGCTGTTCCATCCAACACCTTCGCCATCTACGGTAACGGCGAAGACAAGGAGCTCACCGAGCTCGTCCCAGGTATCCTCAACCAACTCGGCCCGGATTCCCTTGCTTCCCTCCGCAAGCTTGCCGAGAGCTACCAATCCATGCAAAAGGCTGAGGGTGGTGAGGACAAGAAGGACGATGATGAGGATGATGATGATATCCCAGAATTGGTTGAGGGTGAGAACTTTGAGGACAAGGTCGAATAAATCTCCCGCACGCAAGGAAAAGTCAATTAGGAATGATATTAGAGGACTGGTGACAGCATTGATATGGAAATGATCACAATCCTCTCTTTGGCTATGTTACGGCACCTCGCTGCATGAACATAAAGTTTCAGGTAGTCCGAAGGTTACTTAGTTGTACAAAATCATACTACACATTAAGTCCTTCTATATTACAATATCTTTCCTATGGGACCAAAAGCGTCAAGATTCTAGCGTATTCATTTAATGGATGACAGAATCCAACTTTTTCTTCGGGTCAATAAACCACATTCAGACGACTGAACAGAGTAGGCACGTGTGGCTTTTAAATAAGTGATGCTTTATAATCTTTGGTGTTTCTACAAGGTATCTGAGCTACTTTCTGAGCTGTGCGACGCTGTTTCAAGGAAATGATCATCAAATTTCTCTAATATTATCATGTGGAAACTTGTGGTTGTAAAATCAACAAGATCACACTTGATTTTAGCTAATAATACACGCCAGCAATGAATGAATAGTGCCCCTTTTCAATACCTTCTTAAGTTTCTCATACCCTAGTCTACACTCTCCACATCTTCCCTTGCTTCATTGCCCCTATTTTCTTTTATGATCCTCCCATCCTTCTGATCGCCACTTTGAAATTTGCCATTTTCAGATCCATCCGAGACCTCGCTACTCGCTTCCGCGATCGTTATCGTCATTGGACCCGGATTATCACCTTCGTGAATTATTCTCGTACCTTCTGGATCTTGTTCCGATTTCTGCCCTCCCTCTCCCTTTCTATCCTTCTTAACTCTAGCTCCAAAGCTCAACTCACCCATCCTGTCTTGCCAGGTCGTTTCTCTTCTTCCCATGTTTCTCGGCTCTCCTTTCTCTCTCCTCTCTTCATCTTTTTCTCTCTCCTCCCCATCTTTCTCTCGCTCATGTCCCATCATCTCAGAAACCGTGATCCTCTTCACACCACTCCCTCCATACAATCCTGGCCCTAATGTAGTTCCATGCATATATCCCTTCATCAGATTAACAGTGCTACTCATATTACCGATTTCTTCTTCATTCTACTTGGTGCGTTTCTTCATGGCGCACACTTGGTAGGTACTGTTTAGACTGAGGATGAGGGAGAAGGAGGTTATGATCTTATGCGTGTTGCGGAGGATATGGGGGTAGCGGGAGAGGAGCTGGGTAGGTGAGGGCATGCTGCTTGGAGAGTGGAAAGTGGAATGTTTGAGGTGGGAGATAAGCCGTATTGCTAGATGGACTGAAGAGTGAGACGATGAGATATCGGGAGGTAGTCGATGGGGGTTTGAATTATTGGATGATCATAATTGAAGAGGGGGATTTAGTGATGGGCTGATATAAATACATCTGCTAATGAGGAGAAGGATATACAATCAAATCTCCTTTATTGTTGGGCAAAAGGCCATATTCTAGAGACACAATACCCCCCTTTTATTCCCCTTTTAAGTCGTTACATTTTCTCTTCTTGATTGCACCAGAGATCTTGGTCTTTCTTTCACCACCTTTTATTATCATGGCGCTAAAGGGGCTCATTATATCAAGGAGATAATCGAAAGAACAATAAATGCAACCAGTTTCCATCGGAAGACCTCATGATGTGTTCATGAATACAATGGTCTACAGTTCTCTTTGAAATTGTGCCAGCGCATCATCACCACATTTGACAAAAGAGCTTTCATTGACTTTCTGACTTGCTCTTTATGGTGTTTCAGCAAACACAGCAGGATTCCTCATACAGATTAGCTAGTAAGTTCGTGAATATAGAAGTACCCTTCTCGTGTCTTCTTTCTAAAGTTGTGATTGAACAGCATGCCATCAGGATGTAACGACTAAAGACTATTTCTATTTCTCATTCAGGACCTCAGGTAGCTTGTCATTGCAAATTCGTTGAGGCTAGCTGAAGCAAAGGGAAAGATAGAAACGATTTGAAAGATTACAGGTGTCTAAGATTCGAAAGTGCTTAGATATTGATCTTGGAAAATGCTCGAAACAATAAGCGCGTGAAATGGGTCCGATGCTCATCAATGAGACACGATTTTTGAGTATCAAAACTATTCAGATTGGATGACGTGCAGAGAATTGAATTTCTTAGATTCGAATTTCTTAGATTCGAAGGGCAAGAAAGTTTAGATAGTAAAAATAGTATTTGTTGTGACTTTTTGCACTGGCTTTTAGTTATGGACTTTGAGTTGGGCCAATATACGTGGTAAATGGGTATCTTAGACCGAATGACTCCTTTCGTTTGGCCCGTAAAATTAAGGTGTTGCTTCCTGAGCGTGAGTGAAAACGATGGTGTGTGAAGGTGGTGTCCCGTCCATTTCTGGGTTCGAGCAAGGGGTCTGTATTCTCTTGCGTGGGCGATATCCCTACTACTGCAAGATCGTAAAGTCAGTATTGCCTATCAAGAACAGAACGTGAAGGAAAATTAGAGCAGGGGGGTATTGATGCCATATAGGGAAGCAGAAAGAGTATGTAGGATATAACACAGAGGTAGAGAGTTGAGTTTGAAAATATACACGGGCAGTAAAGACAAAGGAATTGGTGAACTGTTCATAAAGACGGCACCGATGAGAAACTGTGACATTTAATCTGTTGGTATTGATTTTGAATACTTTGGTAGGGAAAATGAGACTTCGATGCAGCCAAAAACCCAGCATCTCCCATTTCCTGTTCCATTCTAACTCTCTCACCCGTACGCATTCCTCTGAATTTCGCCTCCACCTCGTACCCCCAGTGTTTTATGGCATTCAAGAGACCTTTTGACTCGTGGCATTTTCGGATTCTGGACCAAGGACTGGTATGTAGGGGCATATGTATCAGTATTTCCATGGGTGGTAAGATGACTTTGGGTGCTTCTTTTAGTGTTCTCAAGAGAAATATGATATCACATATCGACCGCATCTTTTCTTGTCTTTGAGATGTGGCACTTGAAGGCCGTATGTATGTGGTGTGCTGCTTGGCAGAATTGATGTGTAAGAAATGTCATAAATGACCTTCAATGATTCTTTGCCTTTCCCGTCACCAACTTTAATGCGTTCTCCTTCCAGCCTGCAGCTCCGCCATTTGCATCAACAAACTCTCGTACGTCGACATGTTCGTAAATAAATTTTCTTCTTCGTCCGATTAGAGCCGCATTTCTTGTACTCGGTATTCGTAGCCATTCCTTTTCCACTTCCCATCCACATCCTTCAGCGAGTCCCGCGACCCATGCAACAAGAGAAGCGTACGCCGAGGGTGTACCTCCAGATCCTTTGGGTGGTGGCGCCCGACATCTTGCACCACTGAGAGCATGACTACAACACGGAATCATCATGAATGGTGACTGGGAAATGTTTGCAAGGATAGGTGTCCATGGAGTTAGCTCATCAGCGTGATTTGAGATAATGAATGTTCCTTTGGGAAAAATTCCGTCGTGAACATCAGGTCCCAAAGTTTCATTTTCATTTGACTCTGAATATAGAATTGAAGGTATCAAAACAAGTTCTTGTAACTTCTCTCGTGTTTTTGGCCCGAACACACTCCATGATTTCCTTTCTCTTGCATCAAATCCCCATCCTTTGTAACCTTCTTCGGATAAAATATGAACAAGAAGTCCATTTCCACATCCAATGTCAATATAGCCTGGAAATTCGGTATCTTTATAAGTATCGGCCCAAAGTTCAATGAGAAACGCTGCAATGTTCAGATCTTCGAAAACATGCTTTTCTGGATCTGTGGCTTCGGCCCAATTCTCAATCAAAGTCTTTGCGTATTTGGCCTTGAGACGAGCATAAGTGTTCTGAACAGTAGCTTGAGGTATGATGGTGTCATGATGGACCTTTTTGACATATCCTGCAGCAGTTCCTTGCCCGTGCTTATATAGAGCAGCTAGTAAATGTTCAGCTGTTCTTTCAAGTTTCTGAGTACGAGGTTCGGAGTCGAAGAATGCATAATGTATTGCAATAGTTGCGTCCTGTGTCTCGGGATTGAATGTATGCTGGAAAGCAATTCCGTAAACTCCAGGGTGATAGAATGGTGATTCAACAGGTGATGATATATGAGGGAGATATATAACCAGGGATTGCACTTCCCCAGTATCGGTAGTGTTTGCATAGAAAAGACATGTTTGATCGAGTGGCTTATCTTTTAAGATGTTTCTAGGTATCATCGTTCTTACCATAACTTTCTTCAGAGTATAGTTGCGGAATTGAATAATCCTCGCAGGAATTGTAGTATCATTTTGGAAATTTTCATTGAATGGCTGCTCTAAAGAGATGTCGGCTCGAAACAGATGATTCGAGTTGATATTTGGATTTCGAATTAAATTTAGCATGACTTGCGAAAAGATCTCCGGTGGAAATGAACATTTATGCTGAAATAAAGGTGTCCAACCATGACTACCTTTTTGGGAAACGTCCTCAAGTATTTCCGAACCCCCAGGAGGGTACGGCTCTGGAGCAAATGGGACCTTCACGAGAGTCATGGCTACTGTTGATGATAGACTTGTAAGCTATGAAAGGAAAGATTAGTCCTCTTGACAGAGCGAGGATATGAATGATTGAGGTATGTCACGTGACAATGAGTCTCTGAGTTTCAGGTTGCTATATCTTTAAGTGGTCGACAAAACACTTCAATGGCAGATATGAAATTGTATGAGTACTCGAACTTTCTATCCCTTCTCTTCAAATTGGTTTGAATTTGCGTGAAGTCAAAATAAACGTCTTCATAAGGCAAGGCTGACAATAAAGTCGAGGCTGCGGACAAGGCTCAGAGCAATTTGACTAGGGCCAAATTAGCGAGATCTTAGCGCTCGCACGCAAATCGCAAACCAAAAAATTAAGAGTCTAACGAATTCGGTATTTTGCGATCTTATTGAATTTCCTGCCCACGACTCCGCAGGAAACAGCAAACACACGACAACCACGCCAAACCGTCGACATCATGCGTACTTACGAAGATTCCTTCTCCGGAGCCAAGATCTACCCTGGAAAGGTACGAGTGTTACCCCTTGAATGATTATGGATTGTGGTCGACAAATGGATGAATGGATTGAAGGGAGAGGAAGGCGAATTGTTGGATTGCGACTGCGCAGATTTGGGAATCACTTCAAAGGCGCACAAGGATTGCGTATCGAAGAACTCAATGCTAATAACTTTGGGAATTATATAGGGCAAGCTCTACGTCCGTGGAGACTCCAAGATCTTCCGTTTCCAAAACGGTAAATCCGAATCTTTGTTCTTGCAACGCAAGAACCCTCGCCGAATTGCATGGACCGTCCTCTTCAGAAGACAACACAAGAAGGGTATCTCCGAGGTACGATATTACAATTTACTTCGCGGCTTCTATCATATCGAGATGGAATAAATGACATCATGGGATACTCGGGAGAACAAAAATACTGATGCAGTTTTCACCATATAGGAAGTCGCCAAGAAGCGTTCCCGCAAGACCGTCAAGTCCCAAAGAGCCATCGTCGGTGCTTCCCTCGATGTCATCAAGGAGCGAAGAAACCAGAGACCAGAAGCCAGATCCGCTGCTCGTGAGTCCGCCATCAAGGCCGCTAAGGAGAAGCGTGCCGCAGAGCAAGCCGCCAAGAAGGCCACAAAGGCAAAGACCAATGTCTCCACCCAATCGAAAGTCAGCAAGCAAGGTTCCAAGGGTAAGGCACCAAAGCCAATGAACACCAGCCGTTAAATGTTTTGTTCATGGTTGTCGCGGTGCAATGGAAGGGAAATTGGGTTGTTGTTAATGAAATGAACGAATATTCTTCGAAAGTTTCGGGGAGATTATTCAATCAAGCATGGATGAGCAAAATGGGCTTTCTGCGTGATCTTGATCAATAGCATTTACAATGACAAGACTGGTACAAACAACGATGTTCAGGAAGGATATCCAACTTAGTGCAATGCGGTGCGATATTTGTGATGCATATGTATTCGCATTCTGCCAAGTTTCAGAACTTGGGAGATTCTTTTACGGACAAATGGAGTCATTTGGTTTTCTGGGCCTACGAAAGACCTAGCTTTTTTATAATACTACCAATTCCACCGGAAATGCATCGATCTGAGAGGATTCTTAATTGTGGTTTTCTTGTTTCCCTGTTGTTTCTCTTTTCCTCCAACAACCACCATCCTAACTATCTTTTTCCTCCATTGTTGAACACCAGGGGCTTTCGAATCTTCACGCAAAGCTTGATTCCAGTCTTTCATATGCTCACTACCACATCAAGACATTCCCAGTCAACGGTCGCAGAGTTCCCTGGATATTGCGTTTCTTTCAATTAAACTCTCCATTCATTCCCAGTTTTGACCATAGCCTGCTTCATGAAGTAGGGTATTTTACATAGCCTTACCCAAAGAACCTAATCGCAATGACGCATTTTATCTGATCTCGCTTACATTCCTATTTCCCTGGACTTTGTATCCCACATCATTAGCCCACGTTGCCTTTCACGAAAGATGTCGTGAATAGTTGAATTGAGTTTTCTTTGTTGTGATTATGCTGCTCGCTCAGTTGTCCTAGGCCGGGTGTGGGAAGTAAAGGAGCACATGAAGGTTATATTATGGGAGCATCGGTGGGTTTTGGTATTTAACTTAATGGAATGGCAAAACGATGGCAAGCATCAGCGCCAGTTTCGAGACTATCTTATTTGTGATTGAATATTCCTATTTAGCTCTGATCCCGGCGTCAAGTGTTGCTGTATGATAGTTGTTATTGGCTGGCCATTCTTGGCTAAATTGACTAGTGCAATCAACAAAGTCGATTATCCCCCTTTGACCTTGTGATATGAAGGTTGAAGGGGCTGGATTCTTCCAGCTTTTCAGCATCTGAGGAGCTCCTTCTAATTTTATCACCGTTATGCTCGTATTTTGGCCATGGACCTAGAGTTTGGGTAGCGAAGGTAGAAATATCGATATCAAGTCCCGGGGGATCCTCTTGTTTTTACGCTGGGCTAGACTAGACTAGATGATCCATGGTAAATGTATGCGTACCTGTTGTTGCACTGTCTTATTTCAATGTGTTGTAATGTGTGTTCTGTGCTAAATACAGACTTGAACTTGTAGAACCGGACTAGATATAATATAAGGGGAGTTCTTCGAGACAACGACAATAAACATTCGCTTGCTTAGAACAGGCATGAAAGGGTTTGGGTTTTGCGATCCAAAGGCCTGTGTAGTATTGTTAATGTTCATAATAGCAGAAGAGATGGACAGGCATTACCAACGTTCTGCACTTCGTCCACATATGACTAGTTGGGAACGGCAGGCTTTAGGCGTTGCTTGTTTCAATTGAGGTTCGCTTCTGTTTCGTGTGTTCGTTTGCGAAGGTGGTGACGCAGTATTGATCCATTGCGCTTATTTTCTCACACCAACCCCCTCCAACTGTATCTGAATATAGTTCCGAGCTCGTATAGTCATTGGATGACCGAGATAGTGATAGTGCGCGGGTGAGAACAGTTCGTGTTACTGGAGTACAAACGTCTGTTAGCCAAGAAAGACGAAGGTTGAATATTTGACAAAGAATTGATCATGTCTGGAACTATCTTCAAAACCTTAGAGAGTCATTGTATAAACGAACACGATTTAACCTAATGTTGACAACAAAGCGGGGGCGCAATTCTGCGAATACAACCTCGAACACGATGATCGAGATTGAAGAACGTAGGTACAAATACTCTTCTTTTCCTCGCTCAAAAAGCTTTGTCTCGCAAGGCATTGTTGAAAAGGTAGACTAACAATGCACAGAAATCACAACACTTGTTTCCTTCAGGTGAATGGGTACATTGTCGAGTAGCCAACTGAACGGAAGGCAGCAGAGCATTGTCTAGATTGCCCGTCCTCTGGTGGGGAAAATTACTTGGTGTCTGTTCGAACGAATCGTCGAGCTCCTGTGAATAGACTCCAAGCGTGTCGTGAGAATGCTCAGATATGGCGTTTGACAAATCGAAATGATCGAACCGACGAGCAACCTATATGGAATAATTCACGCTATATTCATGATTTCTAGCAATCCTCTTGCAATACGATGTTACTCTCCTAGCACCTTGTACAAAGAGGTCAGTATAAGTATATTATGAAGTGAGTGGGCTGGTATAAGAGACCTAAGAGGGGCTTCACTTGGCCTTACAGAAGATAATCATGATAGAGTGAGTCAAAATGAGGCAATTCCAGTGAATGTATTTTTCGATGGGTGGGTGTTGTCTCCAGATGCAGATTGAGCCCAGCATGTTCAATAGTTCATTTTAACACAAATTATCTTCATCGAGAACAAACCTACCTGCATCAAACAGTTTATGAGCTTTATGAGCTTTATTTTTCTTTAATTGTCTTGCAACTAGATTATTGAGACAGCACCCCTTTCTGCAGAGCTTCCTCGACTTTCAACCTTAAAGCCACCATCGAGAACGAGATCTTGACGATGGACGAAACCATAGACCACGAGTCTGTCCCTGTTGTCGCGGCTTTTTCCCTCAAGCACTTCAGCAGATTTGGCTACTATGAGCTGGTAACTATTATGGAGTCCGTCTGGGAGAACTGGGAAGCTTTATGCTTTCCCCTCGTTCCTAGTATTATTCGAGCCTTGCATAATGATAAAGACTCGAGAGCTTTTTGTTGTATGGTGGATATATATTTCAATTATATCCACAAAGCTATTCTCAATGCTGAAACCGCCCACATTTTTACTTTACACCGCAGACCGGCGCGAGCGAACGTGGGATTCTTCGGTGGATTTTGGAGAATGCAAACCCGGGAATTGAGAATTCGTACACTTAGTATATCTTTCATGTAAGGTTACCCAAGTTACTTTCAATTGGCACATCTCAAAGGCTAAATGTGATATAGAGGATGTGCGGAGATGCTACCAGTAAACCTAAAGGATTATATGACCCGTGGTTCACGATTTAAATTGACTGGGAATTTCGGCGAGCTCGTGGCTCGATTGGAAAACTTGACTATCAAGAGGGAAAAGTTTACACATTTAAGCAAGCAATTTCAATTTTGTTGCATTTTGAATATTTTGAGAAAGTATGGAAAACTTTACATCCCCCTTTGCGACACTTCAGGATCTAGGCTAACCGCAGGACTTATTGCTTCTAGGTCCGTCAATCTGCGACGATTTGTCATCGAATACATCTGGAATACTGCCGGGAACAGTGATTACCCATAGGATATGGATATGTCGCATCGTAGACTCATAAGGGGATTGGATAGACTTCTCGGAGTCGTCGGCGAAAGAACTGATGATCGAGAGCCGCTTACCCAAGACGGGGCCACGAGAGTAAAAGTTAGCCTCACATGAACAGCGATTGAGGGCGAGGTTTTGAGTGCAAGTAACGTCACTAAAAGCGACATGAAGAAATGGGTGTCCGATTTTACGCGTAAGAGGCCAGATGAGTGCTGTTCTGAGTTATAGATATTATGACTCTGCTAGCGTGGGAGTGACTCTGCGAGCAACATTTATTATTTGGTCAATAGGCTTTTCTTACAAGCAGCAAAACTTCCTATTTGCTGCTGTAACAGATCTGGAACCCAGGAAGGTCTCCTAAAATTATCAATTTCATAACCATATCATCTACGTCAACAAGACATGGATTCGTGTTTCTTCCAATTTTTAAATCTCATATCACTTAACCCTACCATCAATATCTAACAGAACACGTAATTTACTATCGCTCTTCTCTTGGTGATCTCCTTCCAAATGCTTATACTATCGGAATTCAAGTGGCCTTGACCTCCTCTTTTAACACGGGAAGTTGAGTGAAGTACCTTCCCTTGTAGGCCTAGTGTTTACTATTATGGTTGAATATGACAAGGGCTAGGAGACGATACTTCAATGAATATCAAGCTTATGTGTGTCCTCGGTTCAAAATCGTGGGTATAGACTCGATCCTAAGCCGCGAGGACTTCTTCCTACTATCACTGCGGCTGTAATTTTGAACTGATTAATAACTAATCATCTGAGACGTTTCGTGTGTTGGCCGTATTCATGATCTTTGAGGTATCCTTCCAAGCTCCTCCCTCATATTACCGTGTCTTTCGTCACTATACTCTCTACCACGTCATTGTTTTCTCATTTCTTTAGTCAAATGATGATTTATCTATTTGGAGTAATCTTCCCTATTCACTTCTTCAAATCTCCACACGTCTTGTCTGTCTAATATTCAAACTCACATTTTCTTTGAGTAACTAGTTTATATCTAATTCGGTCAATTCGGGGTACTGAAGTCCATAGGTAGATTTGAGAACTACCCGTCACATGTCAAGTCAATTGGGCATAGTCACGAGAAATGCAAGAATTCCCCTAGATACACTCTACTCCTATGATTTATGACGGTGTTCTAATTGCTTGTCTAATGGTTGCCAAGATATCATATTGAATGATGGAAGGGAAATCCCTCCCAATCTGATGAGCTTTTGTTATTGGGTCTCAACGGCTGGGAAACCGAGGCTGGTAGAAGATATTGATTAAAACAATGAAGTATCAGAGTGCTTTGACACATACCTCTATTAGGTTGGCTGAGTAAATTAGGCTTCATGAAAGAGTTGTAGTGAATAGTTTTGTTGTCAGAGCATGTGATTGGTTCGGATCTGAGCAAATTAATTCTAAAAGTGGTTTCTTGATCCAGGGGAGACCAGTTTCCCCTCACGAGACTTCAAAAATTGGCTGATTTGGTTTGTCTCTCTCCCTTCAACTCAAGGACTCGGCACGCTGACTTTATGTACCTACAGCCCTTCTTGAGCCTTGATATGGCAGCTACCACAAAGCCAAACAATGTCGTGATGGACGATCAAAGGAAAAATCTTATCCGTGACCTATTACTTGGTAATCTCAAGCCATCACGTCTTAGCAAGCTAACCCCCGAGCTGATCGTAATGATTATGGAGAGTCTTTTCAACAACGGTACGGTCTTCCCGGACTATCCCGACATTATCAAAGCTTTAGATGTAAAGTCAGAAGCGACAGCATTTCACTACACCCTGGAGACTTTCATCAGACATTCTAAAAGAGCTAGACTTGACCAGGGCTCTCTCAATCAATTCCCCAAGCTTCTTGAACCCGAGCATCATGTTGATGGCGAACTTAAGGTAGGTTTTATGGATAAATCTGGAACAAAAATTCAGCTACAGTCCATGTGCGAATCTTTCGGATTTCGCTTCTATGATTTATACATCACAGATCTTTGCTTGAACTTCAGGTAAGCATATTCATCATTAATCTGGTCTACTTTGATTTGCTCTATAGGCGCTCACAGGTGTCTAGTGATCTCAACGAAAGGAAGTCGGCTGAGTTTAAGGATACATAGACATCAGACCAAAACTTCAGCTTGAAAGCATATTTTGTGCATCTCGCAAGCCGGCTGAAGAGATTGTTTGTGAAAAGGAGGCAGTTTACTTATGGGACAACGATATTTCAAATCGCTTGCATCTTGCAATTCTTAAGATAGTAAACAAGCAAATGAATATCTTGGTTATTAAACTTACGATCTAGACTAACATCCAAACTTTCTACCTTAGTTCTAATCACCTCACCGAGTTCAGAACTATCGATACACTCTCCAATGATAAGAAGGCATATATGACGACCACGATGACTCCATGTGCGCACTTGTACGTGGCGTCAGCTTCATCTTCGATCTCAATTCTCGCAGAACGGAGGGCGTATATTATGAGCTTTCGGTAGACGATCCTGATATCTCTCAAAGCCTCAAGTCGTATGGATCACCGGCAGAAGATCCTCCCATTGTCCGCCAAGTAACCTTTTGGTGGATTGCGACTGAAGGTTTGAAGGCAGATGTTTCTAAAATTGATCAATTGGAGCCATTATTCAACGAGAGGAGCAGGAATATCATGGACACACCAAAGATACTTTGGTCACATGCCGACCATGCATCAAGAGAGAGTGTTTTGTTACAGAGAGTTCTTGAGTCTGGAAATTTATTTCCATTTTTGTCCCGGGTGTGGACCTAATGAAATAGTAGTACTATAAGTACACATCAGTGGAAACAAACTTCGAATGAGCCATTCCTTCAATGATTCTATGAGCTTTCAACCCATTCCTCTTCTACAACTTGTTGCTAGATTCATATTTACCGCGTTTTGCTTTTCGGAAAGACACTGCGTTGGCGATGAAAGTAATCTATTAAGTAGTTACATATGGGTTTCCCTTTAACTGAGTATGACTCTCAATTTTTGGGAGTTACTGTCATACCTAGCATCAATAATAATACTGTATATTACACATCCTGATGTCTTTATTTGATTAAATGGTATTCGTGAAGCTCCTAGCCCAAGTAAAAGCCTATAAATCACCACCTTACCTGTCTTAGATGATGTTTATAGTTTCATCTTTCTCCCTGTAAACAACCAAGGTCAAAGGAGGTGTCTAATGAGAGTTTATTGTATGAATTTGTGGCTGAAATGCCTCCATTTGATATCTATAAATTACAGAAAGTTGATGATAGCATCAAGTTATGAAACAAACATTCCCAATGTTGAGATATCTCGAACTCAGGCCATTCGACGATACTACCTATTGCTTTTTTGTCTTTGCTTTCAATTGCAACGTTATCATACAATATCTATCCTCTTTTAAGATAAGTCTGAATCAATAATCACTACCTTCCATAGACTTAACTGCTGTACCCAAGTCGAAACCCTGTTGTTGAAGGATATCAAATTGTCAACTTGCCACCTATCACCTGTTAAATGTGTATTTCTGAAATTTCTTCTATACTTCCTTTGTGTATCAAAAATGTTTATTTAACAGGCTAATCAGCTTCGAAAACGTGAATCTATGGCGCAAGGCTGTACTCTTGGCACCTAGAAGTCACAGAGACTTAACCACAGCAACAATTTCAGAAATCAACCTTTTATCACTTGCAGTGTCTTGAACAAGACTACCCGACGATATTGCCTACTTTTCAGAATTCAGGAAAAATGCACATCTAAATTCTCCCTGGTTAAAATGATGAGAATGAAGAAAGACTGGTTGTTTGGTACACTTTACATACATATACTTTGTCAGACCTCTCTTCTCCTCCTTAGACTTTTAACATTCATCCACAAGCATTCTTTGATACTGTGCTGAAGCACCTGCTAGACCTATATTATCGTTTCATTATCTCTCAAGACCTTGAGCCTGTCCTTCATACAACCGCCATGGTGTTTGTAAGCACGCGGGCACAACGAGGAAATCAGGAAGGCTCCTCGTCGCCCTCCTCCTCGGTTTTCAATATGCTAGACGCCAAATGCACTTTTTCCATGTAACCCAAATATTATGAGGTGCATTCTCACGGTGTTCCTACACGTACTAAATCTTGCTCGCCGTAGAAATTAAGCCTCATGCATGCTTTCCATGCGAGGTAAAGTTGGATTAACTATGTATCTGCGAAAATCTATAGAGACCACTACGCAAAGGTTGAGTTCGAACGATACGCTAATTGTGCCAGCTAACGTGATCGTTTCTTACTACTTCGATCATAATCTGAATCAGGTCGTCGTCAATTTGAAGTACCAATTTCTGGCGCATATATTTCGACAATTCAGTTGCCATGCTAGCTTTGCGGGCAAGGTCGTCGCTAACATTTGTCTTCCAAGCTTTTATCCATTTTGTCTGCATCCTCATACTCGCATTCTTTCCAGTCAAATTTCAGTGCAGTGTCCACCTGCCTAATACTCAATGAAGCTCTGTGGACACAGTGCAACTGTTTACATACTCAAATTAAAAAGCGGCGAGAACTTTATGAACCTCCCGCAAAGAATTAGTGACAAAGGTACTCAAAGAAATCTCCAGCTCCTATCATGAACAACTGGTCCAGTCCGTCGTCCATCTCAGGTCCCAAATTTCAACTCGCTCTAATTCGCTCTATGAGATGATTGACTCCATTCTTCCTGAACGTATACGGCGTCTTCCCCATCACATCTACTTAATTGGTATCCGCAGTTGCAGTCTCTTACTCTGCTAGTCTTTGAACCTGTGAATCACCTTCCATATTCTGAGCTAAGCTCAGGCTAGTCTTAAGAGTCTAGGAGGCTAGACAGAGCGCTAACAAGGCTGGACAAGACGGGAAGTATTATAGGCGACTCGGAGAGTATCCGAGGGGGAGTTCGATTCTGTAAAATTTTCCAATTTACATCATTTATTTGGACACATATAGAAATATCGTATGGTCAGTATAGCAATAGCTAGAGATAGACTGAATCGATTCAGATCCTACTACTACCACTATCCTGAGGTATCAGCCTCAAAGAATAATATGTCTTGACAATTTTCCTCCACAGACAACTTCAAGAGGAGCTAAACATATCGCAATTATCCTTCGGCGAAACCGATGAGGTCACTTTCTTCGGTAAATGTGTCTATCATCAGCAACGATGACACGTGGCGGTTGTTGATGAGCTTCGTTTTCTTCAAATCTCTTTGGTCACAAATGAGAGATAATGGGACTGCAGACTTGGGTACTATGAGAGCTTTCGCTGTAAAGGGGTTATCATGCTTTCCGAATTCCTACTGAGCGGGTCAAATAAATCGACATTAGTCCTCACCTCTAACATTCTTGCTGAACTGGGTAGCCCTTACGAAGCCATGTTTACGGACCATGGGTGCACACGCCGAGACCCCAATCACACCACAGTTAAATCCAGATTTATCAACTTAACAATTCCCCCACCAATGTGCCTTTTCCAGCTGAGAGCTTCGAATTCTAAGGCAGAGTTTTAAACCTCGCCAGATTACTGCAAAGACACACAATTCAACTGCAAATTCCCAGTCCCTGCACTTCAAAATCCCGACATCCCATTCACACCTTCAGATTCCCAAGACCCGGTCCCATATATCTTCAGCCATAATAATCTTACTCCCGTCACACTGAACCTTTCCAGAATACCCAAGCACCCTCGTATCCCTAACCCTGGTAGTGGCTAAACCTCCGGGAAGTAATCCGAGTTTCCAGAGCTCACAGATTTATTACGAGACACAAAACTATCTATCGGCATCTCCCTAGCATCGGTATTTAAACTAAACATTCTCCATACGCGTAATAAGACATTAAAGCCAGCAGATCAATAAGAATCCTATTTTAGCGTTTTCGTCTCTCCCATTTTAGTGGACTGAGAGATCGTACGAATCAAACTCAGTATCTCTTGATGATACCAAATAGCAAAGGACTTACGTAACGTAATCATTTACATACATTTCGATCATTGTGGTATGAACTCGACGTAGGCTAGAACAATGCGAGGTATGGATATAGCCTTATATCGTCGCTTACAACGACATCACTAAGACGCGACATTATCCACCTCTGAATTTAGAAACGCACGCGTGTCATCCTCTTCACGATTGAAAGTTTATAATTATAAGCCGGGCTTCTGGATATTTGGAAAGAATTTATACTCTAGAAGCTCAATCCCCGGAAACTATTCACAGAATAAGACTCCAGCGTCCGAAAGTAATCCTTGGACTAGACACTCAATCCTCACAAGCGATATATGTATATACATAACAAGAAACGACCCTCCACGCTCAACACTTCCCCAATCTTCCTACCCTAATCTCACAAGAATGCAAGATCAGCCATGAGAGAAACAGAATCACGATTTTCAATCACATCTAGCAACTTTTGAAAAGGCTCACCTGTATCTAGATTAACTTCAAACTTTAAAAATAAGTGCAGTGCAGCATAAACATCGTATAGCATCCACGCAGACAATATCATACCCGAATTCACTAGTTGTCAATCTGTTATGCATCGCTTCCCGAATTCTTAAAGAATTCTGACAACCTCGTGGATCTAGGTCATCAATACCGTAACTTCTCTCCAGAGGAGACACATGAATATTCCGACCGACAAGCCTTCGCTTCTCCTAAGCTCCCCTCAAAGTCCCCCATCACCCTCAACGAGACTGATATCTGCGTGCGTTCTACAAACTGCCTTTCGAATCCTCCTATGCAATCAAATCCCCCACTTAACTGATAATATACACTGCGTTCTCATTCATCTACCAAGTATCTAACACCCTGCCAACCTGCCCCTTGTAGCCCCAGAATATCAGTTCAACGCTCCGACACAAAGAGAGCCATCAAGCACCCCAATTTTCCTTCCCCTATCAAAGCTGATCATTTGAAAACCAAATAAAGTTGTCATGAGTTACAAAAGCGAGACGAGGCTAGCAGAAGAAGCAAGACTTGATGTAAAATTTCATTGATTTGCTTCGGAATGAAATACATTCAAAGATTGCAAATTGAGTTTCGGGAATGGGGTGGGTCGTAGAGAACCCCTTTACATCCCTCTCTCATCTTTACTGCTCCTTTGTCCTCGAAGTACCCGCCTCAGAGATCATCATTCTCGTTCCAACACTAGCACAAGTGCTTCGGTTCGCAATTCCACTCCCGAACCCATGTCGATCACTTTAACCTCTCACACTAAAATGCTTCTCATTTACAGCTCATATAAAACGATATCCGATAACACAATAAAACACCACAATCACAATCACAATCCAGTTCACTTCGAAAATATGGCAGACAAATCCATTCATGTCATGTCGGCGACTTCGCCTTTCTGACCTAGGTATCTATCTATCTATTTCTTTCAGTTACGAGTTGTCAATCAAACCAACTTAACTTACTGACGATATAGCCATTGTTCGAATCACTTGATTCCCATCTCTTCCTCCACCATCCCATGTACCCAACCCCGGGCATGCCTTCTGCATTTCCTCTTATGATGATGGTCAAAAGCTCACCACTAAGACAAAGGACCCAAATCGGTCGATCATTGTCAAAGCTTTACATGTTATAAAACTCCTCCATCCTTCCACCCACCATCCAGCCGTCACGTTCGTTAATTGCGTCCGGCATCCACCCATTTCCATTACCCAACAATCCCACCCACCCATCCTCCTACCCCCACAATACAAGATTTTTCGGCGAAAGCAATTGATCCATCCCATGCACATCATATTTCTTCTTATCATCCATTCCATCGTCAATGTCGTCATCCATCAGAAACCTTAGAAATAAATCAAAAACCCGGCATGCATTCTTCGCTCAAAACCAGCAGAAAAGGCGCGACAGAAACGTGATGATGTAGAGGGTATTGGCGCGAGATAAGGGGACAAAGTTATTCTGTTAGGAATAAGTGAATCTATTTGTACAGAGTAATGTGCTGATAGTGCTGTGGTGGTGATGTTGGTGCTGAACAAATGGGGTGTGCAAATCAAAGGTTCCTCTTTTATCATATCGAGTTACATAGGTTTCCGTTGTCGCTAGAGGTAAATTTGAATATGGCAGAGGAAACATTCGACGATTGATAGACGAACGAATGGACAGACAGGTTCTGTGGATTCGAAGCGATGTAAAAAATATGATGGAACAAACAGATCGACGTAGGCCGAGGACAATACCCCTCTGTAATGACCACACGTTGCAAAAAAAAAGGAGAAATCAGAAAGAAAAAAGAATGAGGAACACATTCGTTGAGCTCTATCAAAAATTCATGCGCCGGCCCTAGGAACGGACATTAAAAGTTGTAAAGGGACGCGCTTGACCGTTCAGAGATTCGGTCAAGTTTGAATGGTCCCTGAGCTACCACCTGTTTGGCGCTTAACTTGCTCACGAGCCCAACGTGCGGTATCGATGGTTCTGGTTTGGAACTCTCTGTTTGATTTGGTCTCCTTGATCATTGACATGACCCAGTCAGCACGGTAATACGAGGCATATTCTCCATTTGGGAAAGCATCGGCAAGATCACTAAGTCCGTTAGTACACGTGAATTGAATAAAAGGAATGTAGTTTTGAGCACGTACCCAATGACACCCATAGCTGATCTCATTAGAGCATCACTTCGGTGTTGATCGACCCAGATGGTATTGAGAAGGCCGAAAATTGATTCAACGTAAGGGCGTAGCTGGTCATCTACATTGTCTTAGTTAGGTAATTCAATACTGTGGATGCTATGACTTACTCTTGTTATCCATCTTCATAGCACCAATAATGCCACCCCAAGCATCCATGATACCTTCTCTCAATGAAATGACATAATCGAACATCTCATATGTTCCGTCAGGGCTAGCTTGAACATTGGCAGCTTGTTGAAGAACTTGTGCAACAACAGACAAGTATGTCTCAAAGTGACCACCAATGGCACCTGCGATATCTCCAAAGCATTGAAGGATGGCAGGCTTGAATTGGTTGGCGAGTGCTGTACTCTGTTTATTTGTTAGATTTGCTATTGCAGTAGAATGATAGGGGGATGGACGCCAATCTATGGTAGGCAAGACTATTGATTCTTCAAAACATACCCTTAAATTGCTCAATAAATAGTTCATAAATGCGTCACAATATGGTTGGCATGGTGGGCCCATTGAGCGAGTAATATCACTGACGAGACCAATAGCCATGGAGCACAAACTTGGCTCTTCCTGATTACCGAGAGCATTGTAAAGGAAGGGAGCAAAATGTTCCATGTAATTGGCGAAGCCTTCTTCGAGTGCATTGGCCAAACTGCTGACAGTGGCGAAAACTGCATCAGGCACAATGGATTTAGGTGTGGCTGCGGTAAGGATTTGAAGCAAGACAGTCATGATTCTGTCAGCTTGAGGAGTGACCTCCTTCTCGAGACGTTGAATGATAGCCAACAAGACAGTGCACAAGCTGACTTGCATCTCCTCGAGAGTGATTCTGTCTTCAACACTGACCACTTGAGATTGAAGAGGAAGGGTGTTTTCCAATCTCTTGATGATAACCTCGGAGAGTTGACCCACGGATGGAAGACTGTCATTTGCAGCATTCATGACGAAGGTGTTAAGAACTTCATATGCAGCAGTTCTCAAAGCGTTGTCAGCGTCGGTTCTCTCGGTAACTTGAAGAAGTCTGGAGATGCTCTCGTTGAAGTGAGGAGAGATAGGGTTTTCCTGGCATCCAATGTCCCCGGAGAAGCGCTCAGCAAGGTTCATCAATGCCCAACAGCACGAACCTGCCATCTTGGGACTGCTGACAAGACCTTCGAACAAGGATGCAATCAATTTTGGTAAATGGTTGGTTGGATCGATGGCCTCTGTGCAAGCTTCAGTGATACGACCAAGAGCATAAGCTGCTGAGTCTTTGACGTGAATAGACTTATCATCCATCATGCTGATGATGACTGGCAGTGCTTGCTTGACGATTGGCTCGAGTGTCTGCTCATCCGGACCTTCCATAATGGCACCAAAGGCGGAGACAGCAGCATCACGATCATGCCAGTCCTCTCCACGAAGCTTTTGTTCAACGAAGCTCAAAACCGGTTGAATGATCAAACCACCAACAGCTTGTGCATAAAGTTGTAAACATTGGTATGCGGCACGGGAGATGTTGTATTCATCATCAGCAGCATCCTCGTCTTGCTTTGTCAAAAGCATCAAGAGAACAGGTACAACCTCATTAGTTGCAACCTTGCTAAAATTGTAGAATGGGCGCATCAAAGAAACCTCTTCGACCTGTTTGTGTTGTCAGTAGCACTCTTTTTGTTAAGATTTTAGTGTCGAATCTTACCTGAGCATTGTCGTCTTCAATGGCGATTTCCTCCTCGCAAACTGTGCTCCAGAATTCAACAGCAAGCTTGGCCACGTCTTCCTCTTCACTCTTCATTCCCATGATTGTAAGTCCGAAGAGAGCCTTCTCCATGTAGAAGCGCATCAAGTCATAGTACAAAGACATGATTCTGTTCAGACATCCAAAAGCTCCCTGTTGTATCCTAGAGTCGGTTGCTTGTGTGGCCTCGCAGATAACCTGCATAATGTAATTTCGCTCGCCTTCATTCTTGAAGTTGCTATCCACAAACTCCAATGAATTGCCAAGAGCGTCGATAGCTGCTAGTCGTACTTCCAAATTTGCTTCTTCCTTTCGGGCACCTTGGACGACTGCTGTTAAGATAGCATTGGAATGTTGTACGAGACTCTGTCTCAATTCTGCATCTTGAGTTTCGCAAATGAATCCGAGAGTAGTCAAGGAAGCCTGCTTAAGATGATCGGTACCCTCTCCCACATTTCGCACTAAAGCGGGCATAAGCTCTGGCCATTGATCTCTGGGCAGTTCAATGGTTGCTATTGAGGATATGACTTGCGCAGCTGTTTGACCAGCTTGGTTGTTGTTTGAGGATAAGGCCTGAAGGGTCAAGTCCTTCACACGCTTCCTGGTATCTGGGTCGACCTGTAGCCATTTCTCTTGTAATTCTCGTTGCAGAGCATATTCGCGGGCTGTGAAGGCGTTCTTAAGGGCGATACCAGCAGCAGCTCGAATGGAACCCTGTGATTCTTCATTTGCCAACTGCTCTACGAGTGTGACAAGATATCCTGACTACATTGACGCAAGAAAAAGTCAGTAAAAAGAATGCCACAGAAGCTCATCGACAGTGCGGTCAAGGCTGTGTGGGGGAACTCACAAAGTTGGCTTCGGCAGCTTGGGTAAGCTGTTGTTCGGCAGCAATACGAGTAGCATTGTCTAATGATAGTTAATACCATGAGAGTTAAAGGTCTGTTCACCCTTGAGGCAAGTTTGGTGAATAGAGGGGAAGTACTGACCTGCTGCCAAGGAATTGAGCAAGACAGAACCAACGTCCATCTTTGCGATATTCCCGAGTTTAAAAGGGTATTTGTAGATGTTCGTATTATTGCAGAAGAGTTATTTCTATCTCTCTACAATATGGCTGGTTGTGTGATGTGCGAAAAGGCGGTTGAAGGAATTCAACTGGGGGGGTTTGTTGGTCGCAGGTGGAATTTGCGGTTGTTGAAGAAAGCGATGTTGACTTGCTTGGGGTGTAATATTGACAAGGCCGATTCTTTGCTAGATACCTAGACTCCAGAACTGTAGTCACTGGAACTCTCTAAAGAAGAAAGATTATTAAATTTTGAAGAGCTTGATAGCCTCTCTTTGATCTTGTTTGTATTATTGAGTAAATGAATGTAAAGAATCAATAGTTCTTGTCAATAGAGAGAATTTTTCAAATGGTCTCTGGATTGTTTAGAAATTGATGTCCAAAGTCAACAAAGTCAAATTTCATACTTGATCATTAATGGAGCGGTGTCCCCGCCATGAGTGGTATCATTGGTTCGTTTAGGTCGTTAATCAGCAATTCACGTGATTTGGTCAATCTCACATGGAAATCTCCGTACGTGGATAAGAAAATCATCAATTCAATAATAAATAGACCCAGTAGATATAAATAAAATTTAATACACAAAGCAACTTGTAACTTGCTCGATTTATTCCTTTAAGTATAAGATGGGCAGCTCCATGTCTACGTGTAAGGAGGCATATATTATAGAAAGAACTCCATTTTATTGAGATAGCTATCCTTTTGGATAATCATCATTTTTGTTTACAAATTTTTCATAATTTCAAATTTCAAATGCACTTTTTGATCGCTTTTCCAGATGATATATCCCCTCCATGAACCCCATCCCAAAAGAAGACGCGCTAAAAGCTACCCCTCATTTTTACTACGAAAGCAGCTGTAAGAGAGACCCGAGAACAACGAAAAAACCAAATAGTAAACAATTTATTCTTCATTGACCTTAGCCTCCAAGACACTCACTGCATCCGGTCCACTCTTGGCTGCGGTGGTGGGTTTAGGAATTGCAAGGCCGCCGTTCTCTTTTTGTGAGTCATCGAAATTAACCTCACGGCTGGTACTAACACCATTTTTACCCTTGAGGCGTAATGGTGTTGTAGGTCTGCTTGCCATGAACTGTAATTGCGTTAGATATTTTCGAATCGAGTAATGATGCTAGATGACTTACGTTTGAAGCTGCACTCAAAAGAGCAATCAAAGACGATTGAACAACATCCTCGTGAACCCCAACACCCCATACTTTCTGCTTAGAGCCTGTAGCTGTACATTCAATGTAAGACGCAGCCTTGACATTTGTACCAGCACCAACTGCATGCTCCTTGTAATCTGCTACTTCGAGATCAATACCTAAGCTCTTCAAAGCATTTGCCAAACTAGAAATGGGTCCATTGCCTAATCCTTTCAATTCGTGTTCCTCTCCGTCAATCGAAATGACACCCTCGAATCGACGCTTCAAATTCGTCGTATCTTGTGTCTTGCCTGGAGCGGGTGGCACGGGCGAGGCACTTCGGTCGGTACTGATAGAGTAATCAACAAGGCTGAATCTTGGATTGTGCTTGAGGTAGTAGGTTTGCTCGAACAGGTCTTGAATTTCGCGTGAAAGAAGCTCACGACTAAGTTCATCCGCACGCTTTTGAACCACTTTGCTGAAAGCAACTTGTAATCCTCTTGGAAGATCAAGCTCAAGATTCCTTAAGATAATCCATGCAGCTCCGCCCTTACCACTCTGTGAATTGACGCGGATGACAGCTTCGTAAGTACGTCCAATATCCTGAGGATCGAGTGGAAGATATGGTACTTCCCAGCGGTTCTCATCTCCGTGATCTCCCTTCTTTCGGAGTTGGAAACCCTTCTTGATTGCGTCTTGGTGAGAGCCACTGAACGCACACACGACCAAGGAACCACCGTAAGGAGCTCTTGGGTGAACTGGAATCTTATTGCTAATCTCCACAACATCAATGACCCGCTCAAGATCCGAGAAATCAATACCAGGGTTGATGCCTTGAGTGTAGAGGTTCAAAGCCAAAGTGACCAAATCCACATTTCCTGTTCTCTCTCCGTTTCCGAATAAACATCCCTCAACTCTGTCAGCACCAGCCATTTGTGCCAACTCTGCAGCTGCAACAGCACATCCTCGGTCATTATGTGGATGTAAGCTGACGCAAATCTTTTCTCTCTCTGTAATATTTCTGCAGAAGTATTCGATCTGATCTGCGTAGACATTTGGAGTTGACATTTCGACTGTGGCGGGGAGATTGAAGATGATTGGATTCTCTACTGTAGGACCCCATGCCTCCTTGACTGCCTCACACACCCGGATCGCATAGTCTGGATTAGTATCCGAAAAGGTTTCAGGACTGAATTCGAAAGCCCACTCAGTACCGGCGTGTTCGGGATCGTCTTTTGTGATGGATCGAGCATATTTCGCGCACTTGACTGCCAATGCCAGACCTTCTTCCTCGCTCAGGCCAAACACAATTCTCTGGAAGCATTCGCTGGTAGCAAGGTAAATATGTAAGATAGCCTTCTTGGCGCCCTTAAGGGAGTCAACCGTTCGCTTCATGAATTCTTCACGACATGGTGAGAGAACTTGGAGCCAGACATCATCTGGTACGACCCCGGGAGTTTCAACAAGACGTCTGGTGAAATCGAAATCTGTTTGCGAAGCAGAAGGGAATGAAACTTCGATTTCCTTGTAACCAAGCTCTACCAACATCTTGAAGAATTTCCATTTTTGTTCACCATCCATAGGGTCGACTAAACTTTGGTTGCCATCTCGTAAATCTGTGCTGAGCCATCTTGGAGATTTATCGATAGTTTTGGAAGGCCATTGTCTATCCGCCAATTGGATGGGAGGAAATCTCTTGTATTTTGTTGAGGGATCTTTAAGCCTACGAAGAATGCAAAAATTAGAGTTATATTTGGGACATTGAAGAGTTCACTGTGACTTGTATGAAGTAATAACTTACATGGGCATTTTGACAAAATCGCGGGGTTATTTGATGGATTAACTTTTACTTTCAAGAAGCTTCCGCTTTGTGATTGAAAATTGGTTGAATCTTGCAGATTTGAAAGAGCAATCAAAAAGTAGTATTAAAGAGAAGAGATGATTTGATACAGAGAATAAATCAGAAGAGAGGAATGGAAATTTATAAGAACTGTCAACGTAAATAATTGAGTCACCAATCATAGAATTATCAAGAGTCACTCAAACCAATTGAAAGTGACGCTATTTCGAGTAAATTTTATTAAGCCGATCGCGGGGCGGCATGGGAATTCTGTGATTCAGCCAATCAATTCTACGCCCATAATTATACCAAGATTTAGCCGTGGCTCTTTGTTACTTGCAGACCCAGTGTTACACGGAAAGTCTCGGTTCTTGATTCGATATGTTATATCATTGTATATCCATTAATAACGACAGCTCTACTCAACTCCCTAGCGATCTATACGACTGACTATCTACCGATCAATAGAGATAGCCAAAGTTTTGAGGATATATCTGTGAATTTCCAAAAGAGTTAAGTTGGCCTCCATGGCAATGGCACCCGGTAGACCAGCGGAGCTTCATCTAACCGACTAATACTCCTAGTATCTAGACTTGCTCTATGCATGTATAACATGACTTCATTCTCGCAGGGCATGGATGCACAACGCCAATCAGCCATAGGAATATAGTTAGCACGCAGGAGCTACCACCCACGATAAATATCTGGTATCACAACATCATATAACACAACAGCAAAATCATAATCACCAATCACTAATGTCAAAACACAAAACTCAATATCTTGAATAGTTCAGATAATCCTATTAAATCAAAAAGACAACCACCTCTAACCGACTACCTTTCTTATCCTATGAACGAGTAGTCCAATCCCTTAATATCAATTCTGGATATCCCGATGCAGCAAACTCCCCGCTAAAAGCGAATCCAGTCTTCCGTCTACCAACTCTCTCCTCTCTCATGCAATCATAATATGATCTATATACAAAGCGCAGTCGTGGTCTGGTCCGGTAGTATAATACAAAGCTCTCTCCCATAAAAACTATTAATTATGTCTGAGAATCGAAGAAGAAAATAATTGTGACCATCCACTCATTCTGCACCACTCGACTTGCCATCTCTTGGGTTCTGTAATCCTTTCTTGAATTGCTCTTCTTGGCATCTTTAAAACGTATGTGGGGATGCGTCCCTAAAGATTATTCTCCACATCACCAAGTGAAACTCTCCTCGATGAAATCCACCACCCCATGTTCTTGAACTTCTCTCACTGCTTCTCTGATGCTGTCTTGCAATGCTCCTGGTCCACAGACGGTGACGCACATGGCGCCTACTTGTTCCTTAACTTCAGTCTGTAACAACAGGTTGATATTAGGTCTACCAGGCAACATCTGGACTGTCGCGCTCGGGGAATGGATCTCCTTTGGATTCTTAGGTTTCGTGACAAACAATTTGATGGTGAGAATGTCGCGACGTCCTTGCATGCGAAGGATTTCGTCCATCCAAGGTCGTACCCATTCAAGATGTTCGACGTCACGGATGATCCAAACAAGCAGGACCTTTTTGGTGGCGATGGTACCATCGTTGTAGCCTTGGATGAGGTGTTGAACGTAGGGAATTTGATGGGTGATTCCGGAGGATCCGGCGAAGAGGACTGCGTGGCCGTAAGAATCGAGAGAGTGGTGTCCAGCATAGGGTCCTTCGAATGCAGCCTTGAGTGTCAGAACACGTGGACTGGCAACTTTGGCCGCGTCGAAGAGACGGCGGGTCAAACCAGTTTGCGCGTGGATAACAAAGCTGATATCGGTTGTTTGTTCTTCGGAAACCATTCGCTTTTCATTGAGTGGGAGTTCGGGGGAGAACTTCGGTCGATGGGCAACCCAGGCGATGGAGAATGGATGCGACTCCCAGAAGTTGAGTTTGGCGAAACGTAGATAGGCGTGAGATCCAGGTTTGACATCGAGTTTCTTGGGCAGATGCATGGTGACACGGCAAGCATCTCCGGGCATGGCTTCGATGGAGGCGGTAGTCCATCCCTTGGTGCTGTAATTACACCAGATAAGACGAGCCATTCTGAAAACGCGATCAGCAACCCAGAGGAAAGCGACGGCGCGGATGTAAGGTTTCTGGGGAAGACTTGGGATGTCGCAATGGATCCAGACACCGGCGATGGCTACGGCAGCGAAGATGATGTGAAGATTGAGGAAGGTTTCGTAAAAGGCGTGACGAATTGGGGATGGGGATGTGAGGAGAATGAGGACAAAGGAAACGGTGCCCATCATTCCGTAAGAACAGAACGGATCGTGCATAAGCATTTCCCAAACACCAGAGAAACCGGTATCTGCATGTTGTACATATGCCCAACA